GAAGACGCCCCTCTTCTCCCTCGCGATGACTTCTCACAGCATACCATCTCGCCAGTGCCACAGTCGCATAACCATCTCAAGGGCGCGATTGCAGGGACGTACAGCTTACTAGGTGGCTTTGGCATCCTGCTGCTTACCAAGGCGGGAGGGGCTTTGTTTGATAGTAGGGGGCCTGGTGCGCCGTTTTATATGATGGCGGCGTTTAACGGGGTTTTGCTTGCGGTGGGGGTTGGTGTTGCTGCGCTTGAGGCTTGGAGGGGACGACAGTGATGAGGATGAGTTGCTCGGGGTAGGTAGATATATGTGATGATATATGTTTGGAGACTTGGACTTGTCATAATGGTATGTAGAGTATGAGTACGAGTATGAATGAGGATTCTAGTGCGCGTGGGGTAGATACCCCGTCGAGCTAAGTAAATGACTTGAGGTTTGAGATTGTGGATACTGTGTTGTTGTAACATGCTTTGAATGAAGATGTGAGACATGATACTGAGCGAGGGCAGCGATGATTGAAGGGGTGGAGTGAATATGGCCCAGTAGAGTCTCAAATAGTGCAGGGGAAAAAAAGACGAGCAGGACTGTAAAGCATCATATTTCCTTCATAACAACCTATTCTATTCGTCCCATCATCATTTAAACAGATCACTCCCACATTAGATAAATAACCCCTTCCTCCCCATACCCACCGCTCCAAATCCCATCCTCACCCACCTCACCCCGACGCACCCCTCTCCAACCAACCCCCTCACCCAACTCACTCCTTCCCCCTCGCCCCATCCTCCCTCTTCACCCTAAAAAACGCCAACTTAGCAAACCTCCCCAAGCTCCCCCAATGAATCCTCCCCGCCGGATGCTCCATAATCCGCTCCAGCAACCTCACGACCGCGATCCTAACGTCCTGCCTCGGATGAAAGAGCCCCAGACTGAGGTAGAAGAGTCCGGAGTTCGATTCGGGGAGGACGCAGAGGAGTTGCAGCACCGTGTCGTATTGTAGCTGCTCGCCGGGGGTGCGATCGGGATCGTTGGCGATGGTGAGGGATTGCGATTGCGACTGGGAGCTTTGAGAGACGAGGTCGAGGGACGAGGTGGATGTCGTGGGTGTGCCTGCTTCTTCTACGCAGCGCGCGAGGGCGAGGTAGATTGCCGCGCTTTGTTCTTGGGTGAGTTTCAGACAGCGCAGTTTGTCGTGTTGGTGGTGGAGATCGATGCCTCGGACTGGTCTTCTCTCCCACTGTCTCGCGAGATCCTGCACGAAGCTGAAGTAACTTCTTGTGCTTCTCCAGCCTTCCACGCGGTGCACGTTGGCGGCGAGTTCGCGCAGTTTGGAGGCTTCGTCGGGCCAGACGAAGCCATGGCCTGAGACGCCGTAGGCGCCTTGATCGGTCTCGTGGGATCCGATGTAGAGGGCTGATGCGCCGTAGACGGTTTCTTCGAAGGCGGCGGCTATGCGTGTGAATTTTAGAACCCAGGATCGCCATTTTGCGCGGATGGCGTTTTCGCCGTGGCGGTTGGCGATGGACTGGTTCAGTGACTCCATGAATTGTGTGTCGCCGGTTGGGTCGACTGCACCTGCTTTGCTGTCGGGTCCTGACTGAAACATCCCAACGGGAATGCCTTGCGATTGGAAGAAGGATTGCCCTTCTGTGATGTTTGCTGATTCGATCTTGTTGCTGATCTTCATTCTTCCAGTCGGAAGATCGCAGAGCAAGTCCCACCATTCAGGCTTGTATGAGAATGCGGGGTTGGTGACTCCGGCAATGAAGCCGGGGACTTTGAGAAGGTCGTCGACTTTGGTAAGGTCGGTATAAGGGAAAGCATGGCGTACGAAACCGCGTAGCATACCACCAGAAGCAAGCGCACAGGCTGCGAGGACGGCTTCGGCGACTTCGCCAGAGGGTCGATTGTGGCCGATGAAGATGATGCGTTTTTGTGTGAGAAGGGCATTGACAAGGACGATGATAGGGTGGGTATATGCACCACTTGTGGTAAGATGCGGATGGAGAGCAAATGGTTGGGGCTGGGTAGTATGAGGATTGGAGAAAGTTTGGATCAGTTTGATGAGAGAGAAGTCCCCGACAGTCTCGGGGCTCGGAGCTGTAGGGATCTTGATAGGGACAGGGATGCTGTTGTAGAGGACTTTGGATTCGAACTCGTGGGTATCACGGGGTACCGCATAATTTTGCTTTTTCAGGTCCGAGGACGACGATGCTGCTGAAGGAAGAGATAGTCGCTCTGCTTCCTCATACTTGCGCTGTCGTATCATGTGCTCAAATTTCTCGATGAACATGTCTTTTGCATCACTGGCTTGCAGGACAAATGTCTCCAGATGGGAGAGCTTGGGGAGCATGGACAGGTCCATGGCGTTGAGAGCGTTGTAAAGAGTTGCCAGGGTATCTAGATCCGGCGTTCGGAAGTATTCTTCAAGAGCGAGTAGTAGGAGCGGCTTGTAGATGTGTAGGAAAGGATGCCTTGTGCAAATAGCCATGGCCTTGACGATGGCGCCTCTGTATTATGTCAGCAACACGGAGCCTTTGTTGGAACAAATGGAGACTGTACCTCTTCACTGTGTTGTCCTGCTTCGTATTCACCAGGTTCAGCACATATACCAATGGAGGGCCCTCGGGATCCATATCATCTTCACTCTCCGTGTAGTCGTCCTCGGAGGTTCCATCCTCTTCAGCTCCAGCTGTGGTATCATCTCCCTCCTCTTCGCCATCCTTCCGCCGCCTTCGCTTGCGCCTCAACTCTCTCCGGGCTTCCCGCTCTTCATCCTCGGAAGTGGTGTCTTTGTGCAGGAAGAATATGGTCCAGTCCTGACTGCGAACGTGGGCCTGGTCCGGCAACATCAGCTCAGCCAGCACGGTATCATCTCCGCTGATAGCGCTCGGGTATTGGTGTTCCATGACCGACCCGCGGTCAATGTCGAACGAGGCGACCAGTATGTACTCGACATGGTTCTCGATAGAATCGGCAGGGTATTGCGACCGCAGTCTTGATCGCAATGCCTTCGAATGGGCGGGAAAGAGCGAGGAGTCGCGTGAGGAGCCGGCCGAGTCGTTGTCTTCGCGCACCATGGGGGGTGCTGGGGACCGCGGCTTTTTACTGCCCTCATTGCGGATGGATATGGCCGACGTCGATCGCGAGGACGGGAAGGAGGAGAAGGAGGGTTGGCGCTGGAGGCTGGGCTGCGCCGAGACGCTCCCGTTGGCCCTATGGGATATGACTTCGGCCATGTCTATGTTAAATTCTTCAGAGTGAACAGCTCAACCATGGCGTGACCGATAGTAGTGGTTCGACAGCCCCTTCGGGATATTCTCCAGAGTTGTCGCTGGAGAATGGTGGTCGTGTGACACAGAATAGGGGGCGAGGAGGTTCAGTTCAGTCCAACGATAGGTTCCCGGCGGGCGACTGCGTGGAATATCAAGGCTCACTGAGAATCAAGACTCCCATAACGTCGCAGTGGGGAGCAGAGTGGAATGGAGCGAGGCTCGAACCCCGAAACGAACCAGGGTCCGCGCTATCGATAACGGGCAAGTGTCCCGGCTGCTGACACGCGCGGGTGGAGCGGCGGTGCATCGAATGTTCGTGTTTGGCCTGTTTGCATTCGGTTGCTGGGCCAGCCCTCACTGTCAACACCGCCACGCAACATCAACGACATCATCGACGCTTGACCGCACACAAGCACAGCCAGCATGTCGACAACCCCAACCCCCTACAAGCCCTCTCCGCTCTCCTTCAACAGCCCGCGCACGTCGCCCTTCCGCCGCCCGAACTCACCTCTCACGCACTCGCCCTCGACCGCGAAGCCAACAACCCCCACAAGCTCGCCTCTGAAGCCCTCCACGCCCTCGCTGACGCCGCTGCGAAATTCCACAACGAGCAATGCCTCGCAGAACCCACCGCCATGGATGAGCACGCGCGGATTACCTACCGCGCCCGAAGTGCCCAAGTCGCCCACGAGACACGTCTCATCGTCTACACAGAGCACAGTGCGCCCATCTACAGCCTCAATTGCGGCGCGCTTCGATGGCGCAAAAGGGACCCCTCCACCAGAAACGGAACGCCCTGCAGAGCGAATAGCTGAGCAACCAATTCCACGACTCTCAGAGCGTCCAGCACGTCCAGCACTGGCTACACGAAGTACTTCGACAGATGCGCTATCCAAGATCCCTGCGCCTCTACTACACAGCATGCGCGAGTCTTTCAGTGTTCTGGATCGCGATAATAGCGGGAGCGTCAACTCGGCAGATGTGGCTGATATGCTTTCACAACTCGGCTTGAGCGCGACGCCCTCCACGCTAGCTTCGTACTTGCCCAATGGTGCACAATCGATCAACTTAGCCACGTACCTAAACACATTGTCAGACCTCCTGTCAGGACTGTCACATCCCAGCGAACTGAATGCAGCATTCGAAGCATTCGATGATGAGGACGACGGCCAGATCGATCTTGGGGAACTGAAGGATGCACTGCTCCACACTGCACCAGAGCCGGGAGAGCAAAAACTGACAGAGCGCGAGATTGATATGGTAGTAGATGGTTTCAGCGGAAGGAGGGCATTTGGAAAAGGCGGCAAGGGTCTAGGAAGGGGCGAGGTTTTCAGATATCAAGAATTCGTTGCAAGTGTGACAGGAGGTGGAAATGGCGCTGATAGTAATGCGGGTCCCGCTCCCCCAACGTAAAATACGAAAGACAGACTGTGAAGCAGTAAAGGCTACATTGGCGTTTTTGGTCGTGGGTAAGATATTTTGTATGACAGTTTGGTCTAATGTTATAGCCATGACTTTTGCATCACGTGAGTCTTTTCACATCGCTCCTTCCATGTTCATGCCAGAGACACTCTGACTGATTGCCTTCACTATTGCGATCCATGACGTGTCCACGCAACTACTGAAACGATATTATCTCTTTAGTATTCTGACATTATACTATTGTAAACCCCGCTTCTGCGAGTATATATATTCAGTAAGCCCACAATCAACCATCATATCATCCCAGACAGTCCTGTAGTCCAGTGGTCTAAGACGCTCGCACTGTACTTGTCCCGTATGCGCCAGCGTTGTGTCGGGCGCGTTGCTGCATGGGCAGCCCACGCGTAAAGACGGATAATGCGAGAGACGCTTGTTCGAACCAAGTCGGGACCAAAGTTGTCTTCTTTTTTGGCATTCCAATTTGCCTGCTATACACACTCACCAAAAATAACCCACTCACTACGCGACCACGACCCAAGTATATGCCCTACATCATCGCTCTCGTGTACTCTTCAAACTCCTGCCTAAACTGCAACTTCTCCAGCCACCGCCCAGGGATCCCGTCCACGCCCTCCCTCGCGCCCAAAAGCCCCCCAGAAATCGCCCCGTTCGTATCCGTGTCCCCGCCCAACCTCACAACATCCACCAGCACCTCCTCAAAAGATCTCGCATCCAGCACCGCCGCAACCCCCACAGTCAAGCTCTGCAGCACAAACCCCGACGTTCCATCCGGCAACACATTCCCCGGCCCATCCCTCGCCAAGTCCAAAATACTCAACCCCTTCCCCTTCTTAACAGCACTTTCCACGCTCTCACTCTGCAGCTCCTTGGCCACCTGAATCCCAATCTCCACCGCCTCCTCCGCCGTTTTCCCCTCAAGTAACGCAGCGACGATCTCATTATACACGGCACAAGAAACCATACACCGTCCATCATCATGCGTAATAGCACTAATCTGCATACTCTCCCTCACCCTGTCTTCCCTCGTCTTGGTGAATAGCGCCGTGGGTATACACCGCATCAAACTCCCATTCCCCGCGTTACCCTGGCCGGCACCGGCATTTTTCACATCCCGCGTCTGCGCATACCTCATCAACCCCATCATCGTCGCGTTGCCGATATCTTCAGGGCTCGACCCTTTCTCTCTGCCAGGCCAGTCGCCATGCAACCACTTCAGGGAGAATTCCGCGGCAGACGTTGCGATGTCGAAGGACGAGGGTATTGGTCCTGTGGTGGCTGTGTTCTTGGTGTTTGTGGTTTCCTTGGACCGCGAGACGTAGGCGAGGAGGACAGCGCGGGTTAGGTCTGTGTCGTCTGTCGCGTGGCCTGCGGGCCAGCCGAAGGGCCCGCCGCCGATGATCTCGCGGAGGCCGTGGGGGTATTCCTGGAAGATGTCCGAGTGGGAGCTGAATTCAAGGGTTGCGCCGAGGGAGTCGCCTGTGTGGACGCCTAGGATGGCTCCGAGGGCTTTGGAGAGGCGAGGAGATGGGGGCATTTTTGGTTGTAGATATTGGAAGTGTTTGGGTTGGGTGAGAATGGCTGGATGAAGGGGGTGGGAGTGGTGTGTTCTTTCGGGATCCGTTTTTGGTGCTGTTCGAAGTCTGAAATCTTTAACAACGGCACAGTAACTGACTGACGTTGAGAAAATGGCTCGAGGAGTAGTTGTTATATAGTAAAGTCATAAGTATAAAGGGCTCAGCCGCCTTTCCACTGCATCGCCACCATCCTAGCCTTCGGTTGCTGCCTGGTGCTGAATCAATCTGCTGTTGATGCATCCAAATGGGAAGGCATTGCGAGTTAAGCTCATGCATCAGACTCGGTCCAAGAAACACGAAGTGCACGAAGAGTAGAAAAATAGTGCAGGAAGATCATGACGTAGACGTAGTACAATACGTGCCGTTGTCTTTCTTCGTACTGAACGAACAGCGAATCTCTCATCCCGCTTAACACATCTCAGCACACCTCAATCCCGCCCGTTTCGGAACACGAACTCCCCTTCAGCCTCCATGTCACCTCTTCCATCATATTCTCCTCCCTTACGTACCAATCCCTTCCATAATCGCCCCATATTCCCTCCAGGTGTAACCCTTTGCACTGATCATCCCCCCGTATTCTTTTCTCCTCATGCCCCTCCAAAGCGCCTAAATACATCCGTCTTTCACCGACGAGTGCAGTTCTCGTATCTTGACACAGCGATCTTCTTCCCCAGCACTCACATCATTGGCGTCGTAGTCCGCTACACGAGCCTCAGAAGCACACGCCCCAGCGCCGCATCGTCATACTCCAGATCTCCCTCTCCACAGCATATGCATGTGTCTACGGCAATCGGGCATAAGCCGCACGCAAAATGCTTGTCGCTGCTTGTTCAGCCGCAGGGGATGGGGTAATAGCCTTGGCGATCTTGGACGATCTGTGTAAGCCGTAAGGTTTTTGTGTACCTTTGCAAGAATGTGGGGTAAGGTCCGGGGTAGGAGGGACCCTGCTGTGTATAGTATGGTGGCTCGAGCGCTGGGTGATAGTCACCGACACGGTTTTACTTGATATTTTGAGAGTGTCGTATTTCGTATTTGTGCTTCTGAGGGTTACTCGTTGTTGGTATTCTTCTTCCTTTCTTGTTTTTGGGCTAGTTCACCGGTGGTGTCTCGTCTATTTTTTCGTTTCCCCTTGACGTTTTGGTGTTGCTGGGGAGAAATGCCTCGCGTTGGTACTTACACAGCTTCTTGTTCGAGTAGCTACCTTGTCTATCTTCTCGTGCTACCTTCGTTTTTCCGCTCATCTTTAGATGAAGTCCGAGACTAGTGCTACTATTCCTAGGACTTGTGTGGTGTCAGAGGTAGAGTAGGGCTTCGTGAAAGCGGACCCTCTACGCTAGAGAATAGTATCACAGACTCGTGATAGCAGGAGAGGACGTGAAGATCTTCGACGACGGAGTCTTGGAAGTGATGATCTTCTCCCTGTCTCCCCCAGTCCCTACATCTCCGACTAAACAACAGCCAGAGACGATACCGTCACGAAAAAGCTCAAGAAAACGTATAAATAAGACCTCCCTCACCATCCAAAGAGCTCATCATCACAACACTCAACATCAACATCAACCAACTCCTTCAACAACAACACTCACACACTCTATAAACTTCAATCTTCTCCATCTTTTCAAACCCTTTCAATCCCAAACACCAAACCCACACCCAACATCCAAAATGCACGCCTCCACAATCTTCACCGCCCTCTTCGCCGCCGCCGCCATGGCCGCTCCCTCTCCCTCTCCCGCCAACACCAACAATGCCGCCGCCCTCATCTCCCGCGACCCAAACGTCGCCGAAGTCCAAGCCGCTGCTAAGACAGCCATGGATGCCAAGGTAGCCGCTGGCTGCAACTACGTCAGTAAGTAGTAGCCTTCTTCCTCGCCGATAGCAGACCAGTGAGCACTCAACTGACTGACTGTCTCCTTACAGAATGCGTCATCGCCCTCGCCCCCGCTTCGGCTGTCTGCGCCGCCGCCGCCGCCGAGGGTGGTGTCAATATCGTTGCTGATATTGCGTGCTTTGCTGCTGCTTTGGATATTAGTGCTAATCCGCCTGCTGCTTGCAAGGGCTGCTAGGTGGAGAGTTTTGGTGTGGAGTTCTGCGAGGCTTTGAAAGGGGGAGGGATGTGGATGGGATGTGGAAGGGATGAATTGTTTCCTTTTTTGACTTTTGGCTTTTGTATATATTGCTATGCGCTTGTTTACAGGGTGTTAGTGTCGCTCGCTACTTTGAAATTCATGAATTGCTTTTATCTTTCGGCGTGCATTTTCTCTTCATGGTTTAAGATCCAGTGAATCTAGCTCCTGGTCGGCAATGCTGCGTGTGCCCACGGGATGATCATAGTGATTTTGGGGCACAAATTGCCGAAAAGTCATGCGACCATTTTCGCTAGTTCATACACTCTATAGACTTTTGACACATGTCGGAATTTGTCCATTCACAACGACACATTCAAGTTCCTTCCCAAATCCGTGACCGTAAACCAACAAATATGCCCCTGATACCACTTCTCCCCTCCATCCCAACACTCATCATCTCCAAGTCTCCCACGCACCAACGAAATGAACTAAGGGGTGAAACATTTGTAGGTAAAATAATGGTGATAGGTTGATGAACGGCGACCGAGTCCTCGGTAGAATTCTCTGTTGCCTACGTGCGGCAACGTGGTCGCAGAAACGCAAAGAATTTGCCAATATCAAACATCCTGAGAGGTGTAGGTTCCAAATGAAGGCAAAGAGAATGGAACCTGGCTGTGACCAGGGTGGCTGAGTGAGCCCTCATTCTCGAGGGAGAAGTGACTTTGAATGGCGAATAGATTGATACTGGAGAAGGTATGAGAAATAGCAAAATCGACCGAATTTCCGAGGATTGGATGCTAAGAGAAGGAATATGTGACTACGCCGTTGTTAGACCCTGAGGCTGTACACCTCCTAGTGCCTAATAATCATTGAGAGGATGAGAATAATCTAGGGAAGAAAGTTGGCCTATGCCGCTAATACCTAAGGCAAGATTAAAGTCAGACGATTCACTATCACACGCATCTTGACAGAAATACCTGACTCTTCTTGGTCCTCGTGGTGAAAATCGTGTGCACGCTGGACCAAGCGATTGCGGCACCGGCAATCATTGATATTATACCACCTTATACCACCTTCTTTCTCAGTAAAGAGCCACGGATGAGGCGTACTTCCAAGGCAGTAGCTAAAATTCCTGGCAAAGAAAAATGGATGCGCATGGCCAACCAACTAGGCGCTTAAAATCGTCTGTATAAAGACCCGCGCCATCCCTCACTACACATCTATTCTTTCGCACCAAGAGACTCCAGCTTTGGCAATCCATATTCACTTCCTCAAGAGTTCCTCCCAAATCGTTCATCCACCTTTACCGCAATTATTCTTTTCAACGACACCGGCTTTGAAACTCTACATTGACTTCTCGAATTCTCGAACACGAACACATTCCGAAATCGCTTCGTCTCCAAACAGCAGAGTAAGTTTTAGTCACCGTTACGAGAAGACCATTCATTTAACGGCGAATGAGCAGATGTGCATTATAACTACCAACTATTGGGCGTGCGGCCACATCCTCTCCGAAATCACTGACCCCTGCAACAACCCGGGCAGATGCCTGCCAGATTATCGAGATGGAGTTACGTACTCCGGGAATTGCCGCGAGTGGGCGTGCTAGACGCCTCCCTCCGACTGGCGATATTGACGATGCTATCATCCTTCCGATTGTGGCTTGGAGGAACCGGGGATTTCCTAGATTGACTAGACTGTGTTAAGCAAGATGGATTCTGTCTTTACTGGTTGTCTATATTTTGTCGCTCACTGAATTGTGGCTTGGAGGAACGGGAGATTGACTAAA